GGACTTTGTGGGAGTCAATTATGCCGACGCTAGGTTTCATACCCCCAGCGGAGATGTCCTATCCCACTTTCCGCATAAAAGCTCCCCCGTCCGTGGGGTTATTGCAATCACCGAGCATTCCGATGACCCACAGTATGTTATCTTCCTTGACCTACGGCAAGTCGCGGAAGGAATCAAATTTGTCGCTCTGACCAGGCCGTACATCTTGCACTCGGATCTTCCTCTGTTTGTCGCAAGAAAGCCGCCTCCATCATGGGCTCTGAAAGTTACAGGAGGTCGAAAGCGCCGGAACCGGATTGATGTACAGCATGGCGACACACTTGTCTTCGGATTCATGTACTGCCCGAATCGGATCCTGGTTCCTCCTCCCAAGACCCAGACCAGGATGACGGTGGACCTCCCCCGGACTCCTCTTCTGACGTGGATGACTCAAGTGATGCCGCAGACTCGGACGCCACTACCCGATCGCGCAGCCAACGCAGGGCTCCAGCCAGAGGAGGCAATGCATCACCTTCCTCAGACCACTCATACTCAGGAGGGCTAGGTGGTTTGAGTTTTGCCTTCGGTGATAAGGGTTTCTACTAGATTGCGCCTCAAAGACTGACAGTTAGATGCTGCAAGCATGACATTTGCTCTACACAACCCTAGCCACATGCAAATCCAGGTCGGCACCGTGCAACTAGCTATTGCACTCTGTGGCCTTTCGCCAGCGATCAGGGGCCTTGCACTACCCTCTATCCGTGCAGCCCTATGGGATGCGATAAACACAGGCTCCTACAGAGGTACCCAGTCCCCTAGAGGGTACGTCCCGCTCGACTTTCATTGCATAGCGGGTCCCATTGGAGCTGTGTCTGTCAATACAGGCGTCCGTCCAGCATTTACACGTTGTGCCGCTCTTCTGAAGCACGTGATGCGCCTCCTGACCGAGCCTGCCTGTCCCACACCTGAAGCACGCCAGGCCTTGGAGGATCTCCGACAACTCACCAGCGAGCTAGGCGGTCCCTGGCCGTATTCACAACCAGGCTCACGGTTTCTGCTACCGTCCCCCGCAGGAGATGACAGCGACACAGACGCTGAAGAGGAGTCAGTCACCAAATGGGTCTCTGTTGTGATATTTGCACCCGAGTACGCACCAGAGATGCTGACAGTCGCGGTGCGCTTTCCCTGTACCCCGGCTGATTTCACAGCGCATGCCCAAGCTGCCAGGGCCATCGAACGACGTTCTCGCTTTCCTGGCCTCCAAGCAGTGCTTCCACAGCCTGGGCGGGGTACTGGTTTCTTTGTCGCCATGCCACATTGGCAGCCAGACACCACCATCGTGCACTTAGACATTACAGCAGTTGACGGCAGAGCCTACGCAGCACATGCACCTACATATGCTGATAAAGCAACGTTATGCAACCTGGCCGACCTTCCCGATGCTGATAATATTGCGGTTTACGTTGGAGTCAGCTCAGAGCCCCTGGAAGGCGAATCCCTCGCTCATATTGTCCCAGGTTTTGCAATCTTGTTCGTGCCTGCGCCAGACCCGCCGCCACCAGCCTGGGACTTAGCCCTACTCCTTCTTCGGAGTCGTTCATGGAGCCCCGAGCATCAGTGGGCTCCCCCACAGGTTCACGGTGCCTATTGTTTGGTTCAAGGGCAAAGACACCAGCTCTTCCACACAAATCCGCGTGAGCCCTGGACATATAGACAGAATATTGCCCACGCTACGGGCATCTTTGACCAACACCTTCATACCGCCCCTGCTGCACCTAGAGTCATAGATGCAGAGATTGACGGCATCCCTTGCAGAACCGCTCTTGCCGCTTTTGCACACACCGAGGAGTGGATTCGTAGGCCGGCTCTCGCCATCCTCGATCAGCGCCCCCTCCTTGAGGGCTGGGCTAGTTGGCCAGCATATAATGGCTTACTCCTCATTGAAGACGTAACTGATGATTTACGCTTCTCAGCCCCTCTTGGCTACGATGTGCAAATCACTGGAGCTCAGGCTGAAGGCCCCCATTACTTAATCACGAGTGGGCAGCCCATCCCCCTTGATCTAGAACGTGCCGCTTCAATGCATGAAGCCCCTGTCGGCGACAGCATCTTCATCACAGCTCCGACGGTGCAGGCAGC